AGACCGACGCATCTTTCTTGCTCGTTTCCACCTTCTTTGCACACCCTTTGCCATCCCTCTCATCCCCTTCCAGCATTGGGTGCTTTATGAATTGTCTGGGTGAAGTTATAGCCGCCCCAGGAACCGTAAACTGCCGGGAGCACCTCCACCAGGTCTCGCACGGCTGTCAGTGACGTGGCACTACATCCTTTGCAAGGTCTTGCTCATTCTCTTCTGCTCTTTCGCACACTACTTGCCTTTACGATATTTCTAAAAGCTCGTACTGTAAGTGCAAGTTTCCGTTTTATTCTCGGGGGCTGCTTTTTTTTTTTCAACCCCATCTCTCCCTTTTTTTCTGTCGTCTTTCGTGGGTCGCGGTCTTTCATATTTGCGTGGGGGAATCCTCACCGAGTTTTGCCGCACTGGGGGAATGAACTCCATAATTATTTCTCTCTAATTACGGATTCAATCGTTTTTTAATTAATGGGTCTGTTTTTACTCGGAATGTTTTTTTCTTTTAATGTGAATTTAGTTGATTTTGATGGAAACTTGAAAATACCTGATATTTGTTTTTTTCACCTCAATTTTAAAGTCATCGTTGGAAAAAATAAGAATAGCAGTGAAAAATAAAATGCTCTCAACTAGTTTTCCACCAACTTCAGCTCTCAATTTCTCCGATTCTTTTCATTCACATACATCCGCACATAAGTACAAACCTCGACAGAATGAAATATGCGAATGCTCCAAGAAATAGGAAATGTGTATAGTCTTATTATGCAAAGTGGATCGATCGTAGAGGGAGTACCGAGGAATTGTAGAAACGAGGGAATAATGAAAAAAAAAGGAAAGAGGTTGAGAAAAAATAAATAAAAGGAAAAACGCCCGAGGCCAGAGAGCACTAGGCTCGATCCCGATGCACATTGATCCCTGGGTAGAACCATCTCAACTCGAGAATTCAAATCTCAAATAAAATAGAGCCCGCATATTTTCCACTCAGGGAAAATCTGTAAAAAAATAGTTGACCCAGTGGGGAAAACATAAAGTTTCAATTTGCCAGATAGTTCCAAAGGTCTCGAATGTTTTTCAACCCATTGGCCTCCTTTTTTTTAATGGCAATTCAAGTCATTCGTTAGCAACTCTTTTTGCGGCAATTCCGCATTCCTCCGTGTCTTTTTTTGATATCTCGAGGTGATAGATGATGTCCTGCCGCCTGAGTATGACCCTCATACATCAATATTAAACATTTTTTCCTGTGATCGATGGCCGGGGGATAAAATACCGTGGAAATATGAATAAATTGAAGTGAAATTTTTTATTCCTCTCAAAAATTAGCTCTTCGTACTTTATACATTTTTCAATTGATGGATTATGCATTATGTATGGGAATCGTACTTTGGTCAATTTTTTAAACAGTTGAGTTAATTTCTAGGAATTTATTTTGATAAATTGAGATGAAAATGCTAGTGGAGATTAACAGCTGTAAATTGTGTAGTGGAATTGTTGGAGAACAACAATTTCTCAAGCTCGCTGAAAATTTCATATTAACAAATACTTGATGTTGATTATTGTTTTAGGACGCCGAGGGAGATACACCTCTTCACGACGCCATCTCCAAGAAGCGGGATGATATGCTGGCGCTGTTATTGGATTATGCTGCGGACATCACCAGGACAAACAACACCGGATTCAACGCTCTCCATCACGCTGCGCTCCGCGGTAATCCAAGGTGAGTTTAATTAACAAATTTATTAATTTTCGATGTCGCAAGGACACGCGAATCCTTTTTCAAGCAGCCAAATTACAACCAATTTTGCGGTCGAATTAAATATCAATTTATCTTGAAAGCTATCAATTTAAAAAAAATATATCAAAAGACATTTCTCCTGGAAAATTCAATGAACTGCGAATCAAGTCTCTTGAGGTTGTCCCGTCCAACCAATAGTTTTCGAGATAAATCGACATTTAAGAAAATTGATAGGATTGAGTCATTGATCTTCACTACTTCGTTGGAAACTTAATTATTAAGGGAGCTACTGATTTGAGGAGGAAATATAAAGAGACCTTTTTTATTGAAAATTTAATTAGCTTCAAATAATATTTTTATACGTTTCTCCCTGGAATCGATAGTTTCTTGTATAAACCGGTGATTATGAGAAAAGGGAACTTGGGGTATTCTGTTTTTACTACTTAGCTGCTGCATTGATCCCCAAATATCAGAATCTTCATTCCCCCTTGAATATCTAGGAATTATTACCTGACGTAGTATTGCCGAAACAATTATTCCATGAAAAACGCGAACATAATTTTTCGTTCGGTACGAAATAAAAAATGGAATTTTTCTCCCAAGTGAATTCCATTTCCTCGTGCTTTTACAAAACTCCTAGTTGAACCGTTTATACGTTGAACAAAGGGTCTAGAGATGGTTTTTTCCCCCTTTACCTACGAAATATGAAAAGGGACGAAGGTCGAGTTTCTGAAGTTAAATGAAAGGACATCCGTGAACGTAATTTCCTGTCTTTCTCCCGGGGTACCTTTGGTTAGCTCGGGCAAGTTATACAGACTTTGAAAGCACTGAGAATTACTGTAACTGCTTTTGTTTTCACTTTCCTATCTCTCTGTTGAGCGTTATTCAGGTCTAACATTTAAATATTACCTCTGGTCTTTGATTGTAGTTGAATTCGGTGAGAACGGGTTATTACCTTTTCAGACTTGTGGGGTGTGTCTTGTTTTTCAAAAGATGCCCTCGAACCCCCAAATCAAGCAGAATATATCAACAATATATTAACAATTGGTAGACAATTGAGTAGAAATTGTCCGGGAAATTATTTTTTTATTATTAAACAATGGGCTTTACTTTTGGAGTTGAAATTCACTCTTTTTCAAAACGCATTCTTCATTCGGAAAAACAATTGCCATAAATCACGGGACAATAATCCACTAGGTAATATCGCGTAATAATATAACACTCGTGACTTGATCTTGACAATTTATTTTCACTCGGCGTTGGAGTAGCGGAGGCAATTTTCTCTTAAAACAAAATGAAAAAGAAGAAGATAAAAGATTAAAAGTAGGAAAAAAAAATGAAGAAGCACAAATGAACTTTTCAGGACAAAGAGGCATGATAAATGAGTCACGAGGTACGACAGCTTCATGAGTTGAATAATATATCAAAGATGAGGGAAGGGGGATCTTGAGACAGCTCTCAATGACCCAATTTGAATAGTTTATAATCAGATGATATTAAATATAAACGTATCCGCTAATCAAGTGACTTCTTTCAAGTCGATTTAAACTTCTGTGTGAGAATTAGGGGTTGTAATCTCGTTGAATATATCCAGCTCAGTTGCAATTTCTGCAATCAGTTGCTAATGCTCAAAAGAATGGAATAGTCGAGGCTCTTCATCGCTTATTACGATTCTCTCGTTTTTTTTTCTTTTCGCCCTCTTCCCCATTGCTTTTGTTCAATTTCATTTGATGTTCTATCATGTCCTATCTCTGTAATGCCTCCCTCAGACCCTCAATTTTACCTTTGCTAAAGATAAAATCGATACACCCGATTGATAAGAAAAGAAAAAAATGCTCGAATCTGATGACTCTTTTCCGGATAAATTTACTCACCCTCAACTCCCGGTGGTGTATTAATAATCTTCAAGATCTCTTCATGAAAATTAACGTGTTTAGACGAGCCTCAAAAATTCTCTGGAATGATAAAGTTGGTGAAAACTATCCTCGAAACTTTCCAACTCTCTTGGAAAAAAAAAAAGGGAAGGAAAAAAAAAATCTCGCAGATAATTTCGGGTGGAAAATACCGAGAGAACCCTTGACGAAAGTAAATTCTCCAAGCACGTACTGGAGTAGTGGGAGAAAGATACGACGAGCTTGTGCAAAGAGATATGTCTCATTCTGGCGCTTTTCCCTTCTTAATAAATTGTTAGAGTGGAGTTAAACTAATTAGGGTGAACACTAGTGGAATTTTAAATAAAATCACTTATTCTGGTGGATGGAGGGTATGGGCAATTCTATTGCCTTGAGGCTAAAGTAATAAGAGATTGAGGGAGTTGTGTGATTGGTCTTGCATAAAAATTACGGTTTAGTCAGGTAGATGTTCAACTTCATTAACATCAATTTTCGGTTCGCCATTTTTTTTTTGTTTTTGACGGTCTGACAATTACTTGACCCGTTCTACTTGAAATTTCACCTACGAAATTTTTTTAGTTTTCATTTTTCACCTCCGGTTTTTGATTCTTCACTCTTTCCGAATTCAATCCACTTTATCACGATTAGCCCGCATTTTTGACTCAGTCTGACCTATAATATTTGACCCACAATTTTCACCCAGAGTTCGTCAATTTATATTTGAAGATAAATTGAATTTTATTCTTCATTATCCAACAGATTAACATCTGTAGAGGGTTATTCGTCTATTTCCCTCTTCCATAAAACTTCTCTGTCCATGTTTTTTTCTTCACCCAATCGGGGTAAAATGGGTCATCTCTCTTTCAATTTCCACGTAAATTTGCCTCGGTCCCCCGTTGCAAAACTACTCAGAAACTTTTAATCCCATCAAGTTTTGAACGAGAAAAATTATCCCAGCATGAAGTACAATTTTTCTACCCTTCAACTATTAACTCCATTAACACGAGGACAGCTTAAAATACACAGGGATTCACTCCCACTCTCTCTCTCTCCCTCAACCGTGTCTCCTCCACGACATTTATATACCTCTCAGGGTTGTCACAGTTAGAGAGAGAGGAAATCCGCTCCGAGAAGTAACTGGAGACCTAAATGTTAAAATTGTAGGGGGGGTCATTCCGTTGAGACCCAAAATTTCAAAAACCCTTTCCCCCTATTTTACCCACCGGAAACGGGCAAAATTTGTACAATGCGGCCGGAAGGTTAAAATTACTTGCGCAGTTTACAGTGGTACAGTGTCAGTAAACGGACGAGGGGGCTAGAGGGTAAAAGTCCAAAAAGTAACGTGGAAATAAAGGAGTTGCTGGGGTAGGGGGGGGGGGTGGGGTGGGTTACCGAGGGGTTGAAAAATAAGAAGAGTAACAAAGTGTTAAAGTTTTAATCCACGACGAAGGAAAAGAGGCAAAGTGTAAAACTTTTGAGGAAGAAGAAAAGGCGAGAGAAAACTCGAAAAAAATAGAAGAGGGTGGAAAACAGGAGCCAAAGACTTGAGGGGGGTTGGGAAAAGGGATGACAGGGGGACGATGAGGGGGCTGCAGAGTTAGAAGAGGGGATCTGAGAAACAGGAAAGGTAGGAGGCAGGGGGACAAGAGAAAAGTCTTTGTAATCGTAGTTTTCTACTTTTTCCGGTAACTCTGAGGGGGTTTGGGGTGGAGGGAGGTTGGGGGGGGTTCAAGTCGGAGGTGCATAAGACCCCGGCGAAAAGGGGTGAGAGAGGCCAAGTATAAAACGTATATAGGAATCTTTCTCCTTCTCGCTTCTACCACCAGTGGGCGGAGTTATGGGTGTCCAACTACTCACTGCCCTACCACCCCATCTCCCCCTTCTCGCCTCCCCCTTTTCTACCCGTTCTGAACGAGTAGATAGGCTGATGCAAGCAACCCCCTTTGCCCCCCCATCCCTCCTTTTCCACCCACTCACTCTCCCCCCTTCTCGGTTCTAGAGCTGGGATTTAACGAAATTTATTACACGAATTCTCTGTAAAGGATTAACCAACATTCCTTCGTTTCTAGTCACGTTGGGCTGCATGTTATCAGTCGACTCTTACTCCTGATAAGAAATGGTTTGCTTTGGCTGCATGGGGTTGAAACGATTGCAAGGCATTGGAGGAATTTTCCCCGGGAGATAGTTCGCCTTTAAATTCTCAGAGTTGTTTTTTTTTTTTTTCATTTTTTTTTTGCGGAGAGGGGGGATTGCCTTCATTAAGGGGATGGGAATTGGCTCTTGTCTGATGAATTTGGAGATTGAAAAATTTACTGAGAGCAGATTAAATGCGAAAATAATTGACCGGCTGTAGCTGCACGCGAATTTTACGGTTTGACTCTCGTTGTTGTCCTCCGGGGGAATCATTTTTAGTTTATTCTCAATTTTGGATTGATTGATCCATCGATTTCACTCTCAATATTTATTTCTTCATCTGTCCTAACGACTGCACTAACAAAATCATTCGTGAATTTCTCATTACAATAATTCCAATTCCCCGCGGAATAGAAAATAACTGAGATATCTGACAAATCGCGAGACGGTGAAATTAATTAATTAACGTACCAAACACTCGTAAATTCGGAAGGTATTTTCGATTATTAGGAAATAGACAGTGAAGTTTAGAATTTGAAGTATTCGATTTTAACTCAATGGCACATTCCACGATTTATCGTCATTCTGGCAGGGGATGAGGAGGGGGTGGAGGCAGAGTGCGAGAAAGGGGGTAGACATTTAGTTCTCGTTGCCATCCAATTTTGTAAAATCCAATACGATCGCTTCATGCAGCTGGTGCATATGTGAATTGGGTGACCGTGTTAATACCACCGCTGAAAGTATTTCCCCTCTCTCTCTCTCTCTTCCTCTCTCCATCTCCAATGGTTAAAATTTATTCTTTCAATCGATTTGCGGTCAGTAAAATTGATCACATTCGAAATACTAGGTAATTACAAATTTAATCGGGTAGTAGTTTTTTAATGGATATCGATCGTGTGCGTTGGTGATTGAATTTTTTTTTTTTTTATCCCCCGGCTCAATGGCTGGTGTAGAGTC